GGGAGCATCCCAATTCTTCCCATCACCAGCTGGAGAGTTTCCATCCTTTTTAAGGAGCTGAGCAACACTGGAAACCAAAACATCGGGATCTGAGCTTTGTCCCGTGTTGTTATTTTCCGTGTCTTCACCACTGGATCCAGAAACAACCTTTTGGATCGTGGAGCCTCCTAAATTATTGTCCAGCACTCCTAAAACATGGTTTTTTTCTTCTGGAAGCTGCAGTGCCTCTGTGGAATTTGCTGGTGGAATAACTCCAGCCAAGGAACGTTTCCTGCTGGAAACGTTCACAGCATTGTCCGACTGGGATCTCGTAAGAGGGGGGACAAGCAGGAAGTTTTTACTTGGGAAATGCAAACTTCCCAGAGAACCTGTCTCCCTAGGGGGAGCAGCAGCAAAATCCTCGGGATCTCTGCTGCTCTTCTGGATGGACAAAACGTGGCTGGAGGGAATGGCAACGGCACTGGAGGCTTTTCTTCCGGGAGAAAATCCACTGGGAATCCCGGTATGAGGAACCTCCTCTGGCTGGCTCACGTTCCAAGATCCAACCTTCTCCATGAAACTAAGGGATGGGAGGGACTGGATTCTTCCAGTGTGGGGATATTTCCATTGGAAGGGCTCCAAATGTTCCTTGTTTTCCTTCGGAGCACGTCGGGGCGAATGTTGCTTCCCAGGGGATAGGGGTGAGTTCCCTGAAGGAACATCAGAACATGATGGAGAGACCCGGAGATCCGACTGGATCACCGGGACACCGAGTTCTTCCGCCTTCCCATTCCTCTTCAGGAGCATCCCTGGGGTGGACTGAAAGATGGGATGAGCCAAGCGTAGGGAGAACGAGGCATCACCTCCAAGGTTGAAGGAAGGGGAAATGTCTGTGGCTTTATGGCCCCTTTGTATGGAAGAATCCGAAGCAGTTAATTCATTCCCGCTCCCTCCGGGATCCGCTCCCGCCGGAGATTCCTCATTGCACGGAGGCGTCTCCGTGTCAACAGCTGGTTGTCCAGGTGCACAATCCCTGGTGTTCATCACAGCAGGGAGCGACTCCTCTTTCCCAAATCCCACTGCAGGAGGGGGTTCTTTGCGCTGACAATCCAAGAAAACTCCCTGGAATTCCTCAGGAACAAACTTCAAGCTTCCGGAGCCGTTTAAATCCGCTCCATGTCCCTTCGACATTCCTTTGCCTGGCTCAGAAGTCTTGGCAGAAAGAACATCAGGAGCACCTGGATTTTTAAAGTGGTCGTTCCTCGAGCCACCAGACGAATTATTGGACAAATCAAGCTCAGGGACCTTCTTTTCCAGCTTTTCCAGGACTCCTCCCTCGCTCCCAACCGGTTTCACCTTTTCCTTTTGCATCTCCCTCTCGCTTTTTTCCGTCAGGGCCGTTTTGTAGGAGGAATTCCCTGAAGATGAGAACTCCTCCTGCCTCAGGAACTCCTTCTCTTTCCCTGGAAGCTCCACACCAGCAGCTGGACCATCGCTGGCACCGGAGGAACGTCCCTCATTCCCAGACGTGCTCCGGGGCTCCCGCGGGAGAGAAGCTCCCGCTTGGTTCGGCCTCTTTTCCAGCACCGCCTTCGGAGCAGAGTTTGTGGGATCTTCACTTCTTTGGGGACTTGACGCCTCCTCCTCAGTTTTCCAGGATTTATTGGCCTCCTGGCTCCCGAGTTGTCCAGCTGAGGAGTTTTGGGAAGGCAAATTGGCATCTCCGGGATCGGCGCATCCGGATGGAAGGGGATGCTGGGACAAGGAGCAGCCACTGGGAGCATCCAAGGGAGGGGTTGTGTCCCTCAGGGATGCAGATTCATGGATGTGGGAAGGTTCCAGGGACACTCCAGAAACATCAGGAATTCCTCTGGAAAAGGTAAGAAAAGGAAGTGAATTTCTCATTATCCTTTTTATCTCAATATCCTGATTTTCTGCTTTAATATCACAGGGAAAAGCAGAACTTCCCTTAAAAAAATACCTGGGGTTTAGCAAAGTACACAAAAAAACATCCCCTGAATGGCCCAAAACCTCAAGAAATGGGAAAAAAAAGGAAATATCAAAAATGCCCTATAAAATAATAATAATTTTTTTAAATGTTTATAAAATGCATATTCATATACATCTAATAAAATAATAAAAATACCTGAAGTTTAGCAAAATACACAAAAAAACATCCCCTAAATGGCCCAAAACCTGAAGAAATGGGAAAAAAATACCAAAAATGCCCTATAAAATAATAATAAATTTTTTAAAATGTTTATAAAATGTATATTTATAAAACATATAATATTTATTTATAAAACATTATATTGGTGGTATAATTAATTAGAAAACACTCCTATTTTATTCAATAATTGATAATTTCATATACATATAATATTTATTTATAAAACATTATATTGGTGGTATAATTAATTAGAAAACACTCATATTTTATTCAGTAATTGATAATTTTATACCGGATTGTAAAATACTGTGTTAACATTCTTTATAATATATTTATATAAACATATTTTTAAAATAAAAATATAATATTTATAGGTAATATTATTACACATAGATATTATAATAATGTTAACACAATATTTTACAATCAGTTATAAAATTATCAATTATTGAATTTAAAAAAAAATACCTGGAGTTTAGCAAAATACACAAAAAAACAACCCCTAAATGGCCCAAAACCTGAAGAAATGGGGAAAAAAAAGGAATACCAAAAATGCCCTATAAAATAATAATAGATTTTTTTAAAGGTTTACAAAATGCATATCTATAAAACATAATATATTTATATATAAAATATTATATTAATTGTACAATTAATTAGAAAATACTCCTATTTTATTCAATAATTGATCATTTCATATACATATAATATTTATTTCTAAAACATTATATTAATTGTATAATTAATTAAAAATACTTATATTTTATTCAATAACTGATAATTTTATAGACATATAATATTTATAAAACATATTGGTGGTATAATTAATTAGAAAATAATCATATTTTATTCAATAATTTAAAATTTTATATACATATAATATTTCTTTATAAAACATTATATTAATTGTATAAATTATTAGAAAATACTTATATTTTATTCAATAACTGATAATTTTATATACATATTTATTTATAAAACATTATAACTAATTAGAAAATACTCATATTTTATTCAGTAATTGATAACTTTATAACTGATTGTAAAATACTGTGTTAACATTATAATATATTTATATAAATATTTTTAAAATAAAAATATAATATTTAGAGGTAATAAATATTATTACACAGAAATATTATCATAATAATACATATATAATATATAAAAAGCATACGTAAACTATATAATAACTATAGAGTCACAAAAGAATAAAAATTAAATAAAATAAATAAAAATACATAATAAAAAGAAATACAATAAGAATATTAGTTTCTTCTTAGTATATCACTATTTTTCAACCTATTTAGGATCCAAGTATTTTTTACTGACAGGGTGTTATTGGTGAAATAAAGAAATAAATGGCATTTTCTCCCACCTCAAGGGAATAAAATCCACTCCCGAGGGCTGGAAGAGCGACTCCTCCAGGACCTTTGGGCCTCCTGTTGAGCACCTCAGGAGTGGGAGACACGGAGAGAATCGACTTTCCTGGATTTCTGGGAAAAGAAGAAGGATAAAAGAGCAATAAGAGCTTTGCCTTCCCATCCCAACCCCATTCCAAGTGCAGGGAAATGATGGAATGTCATCCCTTGATCCCTCTGCTGGAGCAGTTCCTCTCAGGGAGGAAATTCAGCTTTCTTGTCATGGAGCAAATTCAGGTTTCTTCTCATCCATCTCCAAACATTCCATGGCACTGACATGTCCAACTTATCCATAAACTTCCTTTTTTGATCCATAAACTTCCTCTTGTGCACATTCCCATCTTTTCCCACTCCTGGTCAGCCCCTCCCATCCTGATTTCCATGCACAAATTCCACATCACCTTCTACTTCCTTAAAAACCAGGAGACCCCACTGATCCCTTTCCCAGTCTCCATTTTTCCATAAATTTCCATTTCAGCAAAGGCTACACAGGATTATTTTTTTTTAGGGATTCAAGATAAAGGAACAATAAAACTTCAAGGGACAATAAAATTTCAAGGAATAATAACACTTCAAGGAATAACTTTAACAATAAAACTTTATTTTTAGTTTAAAGTTAACTTAATTTTAAAATTGATTTAATTCGTTTTGGTTAAATGTGGATTAAAATGGAAAAAGGGGGGAGGGAAAAAGGGGGAAAGCAAAAAGGGGAGGAAGGAAGGAAAAGGAGGGAAAGAAAGGAAAAGGAAGGGAAAAG